TCTTTCCATTAAGTGTCATTATTTACACTGAGTGACCTGAAATGGCTCGTGAAATTGAGTCAGACGTCCCTCTAATAGGGGGGAGGAGGGGGTGCTGGAGTTTCGTCTGGGTGGCAGCCGCCCCACGCGGCTGATGAGCTGGGTGGAGCGAACCTCGTCCAAGAAAATGCCCTCTCGATTACAAAAAAAGACTCAACGCGTTCGTCAGTAACATTGTGTGGCCATAAAAGGAAAGTATGTAACAGGCGACGTTTCAGGAGATGGCCCTTCTTCATGGCACATGCCCAAGATTATATACTTTGAAGGCCACGGTATAGTCGACGAACGTGTTGACATTTTTGCTCATTATTTCTGTTCGTGCACCACTGCCAACGTGGCAGCAGCACCGTCGCCGAATGATGCATTCAATCTCGACAAGCACGAGGGATTTTCGTAGCATCCCCTCGCTCAGCGCAGTGCCGCCTTCGTACTGGGTCACGCAAAGGCGGATACGTTTCAGGAAGGGCCCTTGAGGTGGTGAGGTGGCTCAAGAGGCCAGAGCAACGGAGCCATTCCCTGCGTTTGATTTTGGGTTTCAGCTGCCAGTGATTAAACTGGCTTCTCTCGTGGAAATTAATTGATGGTCTCAGCCCAGTTAATATTGACTGTATAAAAACACGACGTTCAATTTGGTTTGTAACTTAAATCAATATTTCAATTCTAACAATACATTTGTTTTACTTGATTTATAGCCAACGGGCATTATATGGAGAGAATATAAAAAGGTGTTCACCCAAGTGTGGATATGGAGGAATTTACGAGTGACTTCGGAAGTAGTTCTATTATATTTTTTAGGGGCATTTTCTGACAGGGCGTTATTGATGGCAGCGGTTGGGGGGGGCGTTTCAATCCGTCAAATTTGTCTGCAGGTAGATCGAGGAACAGTTTCGCAAGCCGCAAGCTCGTCCTTATCACCATCGCATTATCGGAGGTCGTCAGCAAGGGGCTGCCAGGACTTAAACCCCGCAGTCAGGGAAAGAGACACAACAAGAATAAGCCCGAACTGGTGCAGGCAGAAAGCGGGGACCTGCGCGTTGCTTCCACAGAATAATCTGACAAAGTGGCTACTGTACAATTATATAACTTGAGGTTTCGCAGTCGGCGGATGTTGATAGATGACTCAAATGTTCAGGGAACTTTTCCGGGGGCTGGGCAATTCCTTGTGCAGGGAACGCGGTCCTTGTGACAGCATGCCGCGACACGACACTCGCACAGCGGGGGCCAGAGCTTGGGTTCTAATCCAGGTTTGGGACCCACTGAGCCAGTACCACTGCTAACGCAGCATCGGCAGCAGCATCACCAATTAATTAGTTTCATCAATAAACTTACAGAGAAATAAGACTACATCAAGGCACCATAGGTGAATTGTACTCATGATACATTATGTAAGACCTTTGACCTGTGTAAAACTGCAAATCACACACTTATGAAAGAGATCAAGCATCCGGACAATAGTTAGGGCTATTACTCGTTTAAAATATCACGTTCCTTTCTTTTGCAGTTATTCAGCTGTGCACAAAAAACAAACCGAGACATAGCATACGAAAGCCGATGGACGCATCCCATCTAGCAGCGTGCCGATACTTGCCGATGGTGATTCAAGACGACTCTGATTGTTGTTATTAGACCCCAGTGTTCGGACAATGGCAGGTGGCAGTGAAAATCCGACGTGGATCCACTCCACCTCACCCCGACGAGGCAGCTCCCTCGTGCGAATTTAGTAACGACGCAGACACGCGTCGATTGCCGCATTCATTTATCAAATAATTTGCGTCACAGTGGCCGTGATTCACCTCGCTCGTGTGGAGCTCCGAGGCCGTGGTCTTAAGTCGGGGCTCGCTCTCGCCGAACCAGCGCCAGGCGTGGATCCCACCCAGCTCCCCACGGTGGAGCTCACGCAGCCCCAAGGTGGAGGTCACGCAGCCCCACGGTGGAGCTCACGCAACCCCACGGTGGAGCTCACGCAGCCCCACGGTGGAGCTCACGCAGCCCCACGGTGGAACTCACGCAGCCCCACGGTGGAGCTCACGCAGCCCCACGGTGGAGGTCACGCAGCCCCAAGATGGAACTCACGGAGCCCCACGGTGGAGCTCACGCAGCCCCACGGTGGAACTCACGCAGCCCCACGGTGGAGGTCACGCAGCCCCACTGTGGAGCTCACGGAGCCTCGTGACGAGGTTCGCACGGCCCCACGCAGGAGGTCACTCGGCCCCACGCAGGAGGTCACACAGCCTCACGGAGGTGGTTACGCAGCTCCACGGTGGAGCTCACGGAGTTGGATGGAGTTGCCGTAGCGAAAGGAAAGTGACCATCGCATTCAGTGGACTGGGAGATTGAGAAACGAAGCAGTGTTGTCTGGTGGAGGGGATAACGTTGCGTGGAGGTCAGACTTCAACAATTGATGCTGTGAGAGTTTTGAAGATGGTGATCATGATGATGATGCGAACTGGAATATTGGGTGGAGTCTGGTGGACTCAAGCAATGTACCTTTTGCGAGTTAAATGCTAACTAACATCCGTCTGGAACCCAATTTGAATGAATACCAAAAAGGCATGTTGATGAGCCACTCGTGAAACACCACCTCACTACTTCCTAGACAGTTTACAAGGCTGAGACATAGTACAGCCTCATAAATCAAGAGTGGCACGCGCACTGTTGATTTGGTAGCCCAATGAGGAGACGGAGTCTTCGCGTCACCGGGAGGCCTGGGACGGAGCACGGAGACTTTGCTTCTCGACCCACGCACCCACCCACGGGTACGCACGGACACAGCAAGAACAGCCGCTACGCGATGGCGACGTACCCCAGCACTTGTGCCAGGCTAGGTGTACTCTGAAGCTCTTTGAAGTTGGCAGGAGGCCACGAGAAAGATCCAGGTGTTGTGGGTTGACTGACTCAGAGGACTGGCAGATGCCAGGTGGCACCACTCCCCGCTGTACCACCTCGCCTTGATTGATCTGCCTGGCGCTCTGCTCGTTGTCTCCTCCACAGAGGGGGCTCATCAGAGACACTTCTGCTTCCATTCGTCGGAAAGTGCACACCCCTCCAAATAATTGGCAGGCAGACTCAGTGCTAACACTTGTGCCTCACGGCAAGAAGAGCCTGGGTTCGATTCCCGACTTGGGCACCTTTCTGAGTGGAGTTTATTATCTACCCCTGTTCTGCATGGGGTTCCTCCAGTTATACACAGCTAGAACACACACACACTGTGACTTGTGTTCGCCAAACATTCAAATGCAGACAAAATTACCTGCAAATCACTCAATTGGGATGACACAAAACAACATCCTTCCCTTCGGAGAAACTTGGCAGAGGCCTCCTGAAAGAGAGATGAGACGAGGTGAGGCTCGCGTGGGTAAACGTCGGCCGATCTCTTCCCGAGCCTGTGCTGCGCCTGTTTGTCCCCCGATTTCCGGCCAAACAGACGCTGCTTGGTCACGCGGTGGCTGGGCATGCGGTCTTCTTGACCCAGCCAACGCAGCCTTAGCTGCCGGAGGAGCTCACTGACGATGGGACTGTGCCCAGATCGCGCGATGATATGTGAGCTCCTCACACCGTAATCCAGTCTAAGCCTGGATTGTGTGGACACACGTACACCACCACCACCACTACCACCACACACTCCCAGCGTGACTTCCACAGCGGCTCTCTCAAGCTCCGCCTGGTGGAGGCCCTTCCGCCGGCAGTGACGCGAGCAGGAAACTGCAGGGCTGCGCCTCTCATTTTCTTCACGGCAGGCGCGCGAGTCGACGCGCACGCCTACCGCGAGCCTCGGAAGAGATTTTTTTCCGTCGACGAATCGCAGCTCGCCCTCTGGGCAAGTCGTCCCCGCGATCCACTCGCGCGGTGGAGACACGAGCGTCTGAATTGCCGCCGCACTCGGCGCTGCGTGTCCCGACACGGAACCCCTTCGCGGGTGGCCAGGAGCGCCCTATGTGTCGGGACTGGTCCCGTGTCACTCTTTGTTTCAAGATTTCCCATGACACAAAATAGCGCGTTGATTAATCGCTCATCAAACACCGAGCCTTCCTGTTCGTCAGGTTTACTCGGTTGGTTTTATATATGGAGGCGGTTGGGGGGGTGGGAGGATACAGAAAAAAGCATTGCTCTTGACGCCAATATTAATTACTGCGTTACAAAAATGGATGATATTCCCAAGGCAAATTCCTGTGTTACTGGTTGTGGGACACGGAAACTGTCCGGCGTAGCGTGCCAGAACCTTGGGTCGCAGGGCTGAGAGATGCGAATCCGTTTGCCAATCCACTGCTGGATGGGGGCCCTCGACACACCTTGCGGGTCGCGCGGGTGAATGTCAGAATCAGAATCTTAATTTAGACTGGAGGAAAATGATGAGCTATGAAGCTCTTTTTCACAGATGTCCAGTAAATATCACCAAACTAATAATCCACGTTGGCCAGTGCGGGTTGGTTTACTGGTTGACGCGGGGAGCGTAGAAGTACGGTAGAACAATGGATTGTAGTTTTGCTCACACTCATTGCCTATAACACCTGTTATTCACGGTGGTCACCAATATAAGAGCTATTCAGGCTCAGACCTACTTAGCTTAGGAGAGTTGATGAGGGTGGACGCATGCGCGTGGATGATTACCAGTGGCCGGAACCCGGGTAAGATGTGTTTTAAGTTCGAACATGACCCCTCACCAGGGCAGCCCTTCCTGACACCACTCCACTATGTCCTTCCTTGGCCAAACTGCAGTGAGGCAACACTTGTCATAGGATTATTGTGGTGGTGGTGGTGGCAGCTGCGGGCAAGATAATTTAATTGTGTGGTGGCATTGGTGGCTGTGGTGGTGATGATGATTTTGATGATGGTGATGGTGACTGTGGCGATGATAATGGTGAAGGCTTCGTGCAAGTGTAGTGTTGACATCGATTACCTTAAAGGCAGATACAAACAAACCTACCGGGTCTTATCTTATAAATACACACCTAGCCTGCGTGTCACTGTGACAACGCTCCTTTATTATTATTTAAGGTGACATCACTAAAGTATTGCTGACCATCACTTTAAAGTATTTTTTGTCATTATTAGCGAAGCCTCACTTTCTCATCCTCGGATCCGTTCCCAGTGGAAGCTCCAAACGATGACGAACGTCGCAATGAGACGTTGACGGCTGTGGAGCAATGAATCGCCACAACCTTGACCCGTTCAGTTCGCCACGGCGTGGAGGAGCGGTGGCACTGTGGTTAGCTCACCACGCTGTTGACGAAGAAACCCGTTTTAAATTCTCCACAGCTTACATTCGGTGGCAAGTGACGTCTGAGCCAGGTCTGTGCGTGTGTGCGTGTGTGCGTGCGTGTGCCATCAGTTCACCAACCCACACGGACAGAGCGTGGTGAAGTTCTGGCCAAACAACGCCAATGACCACCGCCACGGCCGTGGGGGAGGCCTTCATCCAGCAGTGGATTGTAAATGACTATCAGGTGAAGTCTGGGCGCCCTGCAAGTCCTGCGTAAAATACACTCAGTCCTCGATAATTAATAATACAGATTTCGTTTTGTTAGCCGCTTAAATTGAATAATGTGGAATGCCATGCTACAGCAATTACACTGTGTTTATTTATTCAGTACAAATTAAATGTTTAAAAGGTTACAGGGCGAATAAACATCGGAGAGTGAGAAATAATGTTATATATTTATCGACTAACAACTGCCTTGTAATGTTATTAATACATTTTATTAATAATTTTAACTTTTAAAAAAACATGGTAATGTCCCAGACACGTATCTCATAAAAGGTATTAAATTATAAAAGCCTGTCTATCGTCGTCATAATAATAATATACTTTTGTTCCAGCGTACGTTTTGTAGTCTTATTTTAGTTAGCATATACAGAAAAACGATTATAGATAATAAAAAATATTTTTTGTACTTAAAAAAAAACATTTGTGGCAATGTTTCCAGTTATACGATGGCCTTGTGTGATACAGGTTTACAGCGAATATCATATCACTATTAATACAGACAATGGGTACGGTTCAGGCTATTCCATAACGTGATTGTACAGACATGATACATATACGTGTCACATTTGTTCTCTTTTCACCGTTTATGTATGAAAGTGTGATTTCGGTTTCAACGTTTGGGTAAATGCTCGTAAACTTGCATTTTGAACGTTGCTCAGCGAGCTGTGAAATCCGCAGAGAGGCACCGTCACCTTCGTTGTGTCAGCCAGGTTTGGGCCTAAAGTAGTCGGCCGAGTGGCAGCACAGAGACTACATTCACAGGCTATGCCAGTCCCACAGAGCTTCCTGTCGCTTCAAAATCGCTTGCGATTTTCACGTTGGCAAAGTCACCGAGATCTTCCCATTGGTCTCGAAGTACAATCCTCCCTGTGGGTCTTGATCACGTTGGGCTTCCTGCAGCTCGGGTCTTCCCGTCGGCCCCGTAGCACAGGACTTCTTTGTTCATCATCCATCAGTCAGGACTTCTTGTGGGCTCAACTGCTTGGACCTTTCTCATGAGCAGACATAGTCAATCACACTAAAAAGTCCACCAAGCCAAACAGGCCATCTCGTCTGCCGAAACAGTTACCCAAGTCGCTGGGGCCTTCATACTCACCCTCCGTTTGTTCACTTGCATCCAGTAGTCCCAAGTGGTGGTGAATCGTCATGTTTTCACAGTTTTTATTCGATTAACGTTCGTAACTTTTTTTTTTAGTCGTGCAGCAACAGCCGTGGGTTCCTTTTTCTCTTTTTCTTTCCCGTTGACACGACGGCTGCTCGCTCCAACAACGTCCGGTTCACTGGAACACCTGTGGCCATTTGCGTCACTCCTTGTTCAAGTTTTATCCTTGCCCACGGATAGCCAAGTATTGGCCACCGAGGGACAGAAGACATCTTTAATCCAAGCACCGTGCCGTCCGGACTCGGGAATACGCACACCGAACCCCGGCGGTGTTGGCGACAGAAACACTTGGGATTATTTTGTTTAATGAAGCACGCGGAGTTCGCGTGACGTTGCGTTATCAAAACAACGTCGACACGACTCGTGCGCGCGAAACGTTGTGAAGTCGTAGCCCACGGGGTTGTTCCGATCGTTGGGGCGTGCTCGTCATTTTCCGATTTGTTTCTTTGTCCCCGGACAGCGGAAGCGTCACCTCGAGCGAGAGCGGGTGCCAGGGCCTCGCGTGGCGCGCGGGCCGACGCTATACCCCGACGAGGACGCCCATGAAGTCGGAGCCCTTCTGCACGACGATGGCGGCACCAGCGCCGTTCTCCACGTTCACGGACGTGTGCTGCCCCACCTGGGAGCCGGGAAAAGCAAACGGCATGAGCCCGAGGGATGGCGGCGCAAAGACGGGCGAACGAGTGAGAGAGGTGAACGCACACCTGTTGAGGTGGAGCACAGATGTACAGGTAGTCCCCGACTTACAATGGGGTCGTCGTAACGCATCTCCATCGTAAGTCGGGGGACTACCTGTATACGCGATTTTGTGATCATCGTCGTCGTCGTCGTCAACATCGGCAGCAGTAGGAATGGCGTCATCGATGATCATTGTCATCGTCCGCGGCAGTAGTAGCAGAAACAGCAACAGAAGCAGAATCATTATCAGTAGCAGTAGGAATCAGTTTTGAAGATATCGTCACATCACCATCAGAAGAAGAAACACTGCAATAATCATCATCATGAGCGGCAGCATCATAATTAGCGCTATCGTTACTATCACTCATCAGATGTCAACATCAGCATCATCATCTTAAACATCATATTTACATATCCCCGCCTCTGTCCGTGAAGTTCTCTGCAAGTGTCCTTATCAATAAACCCTGACACTCATTTTAGACCCAGAACAATTGAACTGTTATGATCAACACACTCCATTGCAAGATTTTTCCAACGGTGACATATTCACAAATGTACGCCATCATTCGATATTGGCATTAAAGATGTGGTTCAAACATGATTCTCGATGTAAGAATGCATTTATTGGTTTGTTAGGTATGATTTGTAAGTCCCAATTCTCAGACACGGTCTAAAACGTGCGAGCACTTTCAGTCATGCACAGCTGCGGTCAACCAGCACAGAGAGCAAGAGGATTTAGAGGGGAGACGATAGACATTTTGCGAATGCCTCCCATTGTAGATGCTCTCCATCGATTCGTCACCAATTACATCCTAAATTCCTGGGACCAAAATCACCCAGAATGCGCCAATCTCAGAAGCTAAGTCGGGGTTGAGCTTGGAATTTGCTTGGATGGGCGACCACCATGCACAACAGGTTGCTATAGGCTGCTGCGGGGCTACGTGGTAAGCAGCAGGGTCGGATGTGTGCAACAAAATCCAAGGTTGTACTGCACTTCCACGCTCCCTGCCTCCGCCCACCTACTCTAACCAACTTGGTGAAGGAGCTCCCCGCAATCAACTGCACGTGGAGAGGACCTCATCCAGCAGTGGATTGACAAAAAGGGGCTGAACATGAACGCACCCCAGTTGGTGTTTCTGCCGACAAGGCGCGAGACTAAATTTAGCGTCGCTAAAATCCCTCGTCAGGAAAGCCGTGCCGACGCGGGGGATCTGGCGCTGACGTAGACATTGCAGAACTACGTCCGACGTTGCTTAGCTTGTCTCCTCTCTCCGAGCCACGAGAGGGCGCTGACTCACACCTTGTAGAGTCCTGGGCGGCTCTACCTCTTGACCCGCGACTTGACCCGATCTCACAACCCGCTTCAACAGCGGCACCTCACCTCCTACCTGACCTGACCCACATTTCGACCCAACTCGCTTTTATGATTAGCCACGTGACCCCACCCAAACACGAACAGTTTTCATAATTTCACATCTGTGTTCGGATGCTATGTGATTCTCGTCGTGTTAAAGCACAGAATATTGGGAAGGGACTATATAGGTCGGATAGGAAACACTAAGAAGAAGAACGATTTCCATTACAATCTACAAGGCCTCTGCTCCAAAATGTAACTGCACATGGCCGAGCATTACTCAGACTGCTAACAGTGCATAGTGGCTGTTCCGTAGCAGCATGAAGTCTAAACAGATTTTACTTTTGAACGAATAGCAAAGTGAAAATGTATATTTCTAGTTGCTCGAATCGTCGCGCTGCCCAGTTTCTAGAAAGTTTTGCAACGACAGATTTAGTGGTGGAGTAGTCGTGTACACAACATTGAAATTAAGAAAAGTAATGACGGAGGTTCATCACAGATGACCCATGGGTTGACCCCTGGTGGGGAAACTCGCGATGGACATCAACCGAAAGGGAATCCGGAAGAACGACTCTCGGTTCTGACACGAAGCCGAGCAGCGGCAGGGGCGCAGACGCTCTTGGAGAACTGCTCTCACCTCGCTCTCTAACCTCACTCCCTCACCTCACACTCTCACCTCACTCCCTCACCTCACTCCCTCACCTCACTCTCTCACCTCGCTCCCTCACCTCGCTCTCTCACCTCACTCCCTCACCTCGCTCTCTCACCTCGCTCTCTCACCACACCCTCTCACCTCACTCTCTCACCTCACTCTCTCACCTCGCTCTCTCACCTCGCTCTCTCACCTCGCCCTCTCATCTCGCTCCCTCACCTCACTCTCTCACCTCGCCCTCTCACCTCGCTCCCTCACCTCGCTCTCTCACCTCGCCCTCTCACCTCGCTCCCTCACCTCGCTCTCTCACCTCGCTCACTCACCTCGCTCTCTCACCTCGCTCTCTCACCTCGCTCTCTCACCTCGCTCTCTCACCTCACTCTTTCACCTCACTCTCTCACCTCACTCTCTCACCTCACTCCCTCACCTCACTCTCTCACCTCACTCCCTCACCTCACTCTCTCACCTCACTCTCTCACCTCGCGCTCTCACCTCACCCTCTCACCTCACCCTCTCACCTCACTCTCTCACCTCACTCTCTCACCACGCTCTATCACCTCGCTCTCTCACCACGCCCTCTCACCTCACCTCTCACCACACTCTCTCACCTCGCCCCCTCACCTCGCCCTCTCACCACGCTCTCTCACCTCACCCTCTCACCTCACTCTCTCACCTCACTCTCTCACCACGCTCTCTCACCTCACTCTCTCACCTCGCCCTCTCACCTCGCTCTCACCTCACCCTCTCACCTCACTCTCTCACCTCACTCGCTCACCTCGCTCTCTCACCTCACTCTCTCACCTCGCTCTCACCTCACTCTCTCACCTCACTCTCTCACCGCGCGCCACCCGACGGGTTTACAAACGTCGGCCTTCGCCCCTGGGGTAAGCGGAGTTTAGTGAAACAAAACGAGGCCCAGTTTGAGTTCCGTGCGGCTAAACCGGGACTCAAACCCAGGCTGTCGTCGTACCTGAGCACGGAACCCTTGGGGGTACCTTCACGACGCGTCCCAGGTCTCGCGCCGCCCCTGCAGGTGCAGCGTGGTGAGCTGTGCCCGGTGTGTAACACACACCTGTAGCTGGAGCAGCCCCTGCAGGTGCAGCGTGGTGGGCTGTGCCCAGTGTGTAACACACACCTGTAGCTGGAGCAGCCCCTGCAGGTGTAGCGTGGTGGGCTGTGCCCGGTGTGTAACACACACCTGTACCTGTAGCAGCCCCTGCAGGTGCAGCGTGGTGGGCTGTGCCCGGAGTGTAACACACACCTGTAGCTGTAGCAGCCCCTGCAGGTGTAGCGTGGTGGACTGTGCCCGGTGTGTAACACACACCTGTAGCTGGAGCAGCCCCTGCAGGTGCAGCGTGGTGGGCTGTGCCCGGTGTGTAACACACACCTGTAGCTGGAGCAGCCCCTGCAGGTGCAGCGTGGTGGACTGTGCCCGGTGTGTAACACACACCTGTAGCTGGAGCAGCCCCTGCAGGTGCAGCGTGAAGACGCGGCTGTTGCTCTCTAGGCCCGATGCCGTCTCCAGGGGCCTGCGGCACGGACCGAGGGATGGACAGGACACGGCGCGCACGTCAGGGAGAGGAGGAGGAGATCGCTGCGGTGGCGACGCGGAGTGCCCAAGGCGTCGCTGATGGTGCCACATTTTCTGGGAGGCCTCAACAGGGACGTGCGACTGCGCGAGCTGGCAGCCACGCCCAATTTTACATGGACACGCCCACTCGATCGCTAGCCCCGCCCACAAAGTGAGAGTGGCCTCCAGGCTCCCTCTCTGACGTCGACACCAACGATTGCTCATAGGCCGCGCTCATCTGCCAACTCTGCCCACTACCCGGTAAGCCCCACTCTTTGCCCACACCAATGAGGCCGAAATATCGATGTTTAAAAACAATCTTGAGCAAAGCTTGATGGAGTGAGGGAGAATGAGTGAGAACACCACTTGCCCCAACAGTCTGTTAAGGCCACACGGGGGATCTTTGTCTTGTTGTGGGTGAGACTCACGCGTGCCGGCTACACTGCGAGTCGATGCAGATGTGGACGCGCACGCAGTCTCGGCCTCGCAGGTGATCCTTCCTCCGCACATCCGAGCCGTCTGGCAGACGCACACACACAGTCACCGCCATCGTCACCGCCATCGTCATCAGTACTAAGAGCAGCAGCAGCATCATCACTGTCGCCGTGAATCCTTGTCCCCCACGTCCCCACGTCCCCCACGTGCCCGTGTCAGCCCGCACCGATGTGGATGTTGACTGAGAACTGGTAGATGCCCGAGATTTGCGCCGTGTAGTGGCCCGAGTCCACGTCCATGCCTCTACCTCGCACGAACCCCCCCGCCGAGGGCAGCTGCAACGACACAAACCACAAAAACCACGGGTCCACAGGTGAGTTTGCCGTTACGTTTTCGGTCGGGCCACGTAATGCGCCGGCCAGATGTTGTCATGTAAACCAGCCAAACAATTTGACATCTTCGGTGAGTAACACTGTTTGGAGGTCAAACAGTGTTAAGATAACAAAAGGGGTTCCACAGGGTTCCATCCTCGGCCCCCTCTTGTTCTCTCTTAATGTCAATGACTTGGGCACCGATCTGGATCATTCCAGGGTAAATCTTTTTGCAGATGATACGATACTGATTACTGCTGCTGGCCGCTCTCCGGATGACGTGATTGCTAAGCTCCAGGTGATTTCAACAAACTACAACATCAGCTAGTTGCTCTTAAACTAGTCCTGAATACCTCCAAAACCAAGGTGCTATGCTTCTCACCGGGACTAAAGCAGGAAGTTATTTTTCCCCAATTACATTCATTAAATAATTATCAAATAGAGCAAGTCAAGATGTATAAGTATCTTGGGGTCATCCTTGATTCAAAACTGAATTTTAAAGATCACATTGATTATATTGGTAAAAAGACAAAAAAATTGGTTTTCTGTATCGACACAAGCACTGCTTCCCCCCTATGTTCCGTTTGGAATTGATAAAAGCTACCATACTGCCTCTACTTGATTACTGTCACATCGTATATAAATCAGCCCCCAGTACTGCACTGAAGAAGCTTGACTCAATTTATGACTCGGCCTTAAGATTTGCATTGAACTGCCCATATAGGACCCACCACTGTGATCTCTACATTAGGTCAAACTTAACATCTCTTAATGTTCGACGGCTTGTGCATCAGATCTTATTTATTCACGATGTACTTACAAAAAAATCTGCAGACTACCTGCTGGATCTCCTCTCTGTTTCGAAGAACAAATTTGACCTCAGGTCTTCGCTCATTTACTAGCTTCACATTCCTTATTGCCGTACAAATACTGCAGGAAGGGCCTTTGCTATTGATGCCCCCAGGGTCTGGAATGCTATTGCTAATAAGCTGCAACTTCAATCACTACCTATTAGATCTTCACTCAAAACTGCTTTAGAGGAGTTGTACACCCCTAGCTGCCACTGATATTCAGTGGCCTAAAATAAAATGTTTCGCTCCGGATGACCGCTGTAGAGTATGATCTTGGGTTTTGCTTTAGTGTGCTGATCTTTAAAGGTGCATTGAAAAATGTTGATACTCCTACTGATGCTCCTGCTGTTGTGGAGTGACTCATGCAGCCAGCTATGGCTACAGGGTTTGGTGGTACATGTTGTTTATGTCGTTTATTGTGAAATTTCGATCACCATTACATTGCTTTTATGGCTTTATTTTGGTGATTTCGAAAAGTTTTTTGGTTTAGCCATGTTTGTTTGTTGTAGTACGAAGTTAAACTGACGGCTTTAATCTAAAGTTGTCTTGTGGTTGTTGTTGTTGTTTGACTTGCATCCCACTGGGATTTTTGCACACAGCGTTGGTGTACGGTGCTTTTTCTGGAAGATTGTGCTGTTTTTTCCTGGATTTTTCTATTTGCGCATAGTCACTTTAAGATGTTTTCGTGTTCATGTTTTTTTTGTTTGTTGCGGTTGCACCCGATTCAAGAGCCGAATGGCTCACAGGGCTATACCAAATAATAAGAAACTGAATGAATAAGCGAGCGAGCGAGTGAGCGAGCACGTGATTAAGCGAGCGAACGAGTTGGTGGTTATGTTGAATGGGATATTTGATGCATGTCTAATTTTTTCTTGAATCTGTGGCCCCGGGGAGCTGCGTGGGTCCCCTAAGTTTTTTCTTGGCATGCTTCGAGCTCACGCCACCACCACCACCACCACCGTTCCCATAGTGCCACGGAAGCCCGGCAGCACCGCCGCACGGTCGCGTCGTGGCGATTCCCACGCTCCTACGGACCAAGCTACGGGCCAAACCAGCTCCAGGCCTCCAGCCTCGCTAGAAACTTTGCTTTGCCTCTCCATCACCGCCGATTTCGGCCACGACTGCACCTGCGTGAGCACGATCCACCGGAAATAAAACAAGTGAAGTAAATGACACGGCCGTTATGCCGAGCACAAGCCCACACGCTCAGAACGCCAAGCGGCCAGCAGCCAGCAGCGCCATCGAAAATGTAATGGACGAGAGAGGACACGTTTATAGAATTGAGCGATAAGAGACGGCGATGATAGTGGTGGGAGGAGGGAGTTCCCAGGTGGAGCAGGGCAAGGGGAGAAGCGGAGAGAGCGGGAAGGGAGGTGACCTGCGGTGCGAGAACGCAGCGCGGCCGCGGCGGAGGTGCGCTCAATAACCCCACGCGATTGCGCTGTGGGTGAGGACTCCGTTTGGCCACGGATATTTGTGTAACCATGACAAGTTTCTACACATGGCGTATTGTATACACAGTGTGTTCCATGTATACACACCGTCGTACGTATACAAATTACGTATTGCAAGTATACACATTGTGACCACGTGTATACACATTACATGCTGTATTTATGTAATGTCTATTTAAAATGTACATTATGCACGTTTAAATATTTTCACGTGTTTACACATCAGTGTAACATATTGTGCTCTTTAAGTATTTGACATACGCACTGCATCATATGTAAAATGTATGCAGTTCGTACACAACACAATACATCTGAAGGCTTTTGTCAATAACACCCATCCTTGCCAACATAACTTTCGGCTTAATATAAATCGCCCATCTCTCTGCACTAATTGAAGTATTATATAAACAATTTGACATGATTTAACATTATTTTAATATAAAATGAAGCGCAAGCCTTCAACACCACATTCCCAAAACTCATCGACTGCCCCTGGCATTTCGCACAAATGAAACACAGAGACACACAGATTATTCATCCGCATCGCCGCCGCTTACAGCTCACACGACCCTCCTCCTCGTCTTAAGACACAAACCGGGAGATAAACATATCATGCAGGAATGAATCATTAGCAAATGATTCATTCTTTAAATACGCTCATTCGCTTCCTCCCCATCGCGGTTGTCCGGTTGTCGCGTGGATGTTTATCACAAGTTTTGGTATTTTTATGAAACCAACTCCAACGGAAGCCATTCATCTCGAGCGGTGGCAATTCCACATTCCCATGGCGGAGCCGAGTTTTAATAAGACAAACACCCGGTGCTTACTTTAGGGACTTGTTTTCGTGAACATTACTAAACCTGAAGGAATGATGCTTCTGATGTGGATGACGACGACGATTGTCTGAAATGTACAGCGGGAATGTTTTTGCTTTCACACTTATACTTGTATTATATTGACAAATAATCGTTCTGCCTCGTGTTGTTATTTATTTCTAGTTCATATTCCTGTCGTGAAATATTCTGCACTAAACATTCATGTCTACCCTTGGCAAAACTCGATTCTCAATGGGCTCTGGTTAGAATGGCAATAAACACCAAGAACAAGAAGACTAAAACATCAATGATTGGGCTCATGACAAGGATGATGATCGTGGTGATGATGACGGTGTTGTAAATAACAGCTGTGATGGTTCCGATGATGATGATGATGTGATGACGAAAGCAATGATTATCAAAAGCACGATTTTGTTTACATGTTCACCACAAGTATGAAGTGTGGTTCATAAAGACACGATTCCTTGCAAAAGTTACAGTTTGCTGTTTGAACATCTTAACACAAACTGTTTTATTGCCAGAAAGGGTAAAACCTCTTCTTATATTTTGATACTGGTTAGAAAGGTCCCATAGTATAGCGATGATGTTGATAACGATAGTGATGATGATGTTGATAACGATAGTGATGATGATGATAACGATAGTGATGATGATAACGATAGTGATGATGATGTTGATAACTATAGTGATGATGATGTTGATAACGATAGTGATGATGATGTTGATAACTATAGCGATGATGATGATTGTGATAACGATAGTGATGATGATGATGTTGATAACTATAGTGATGATGATGTTGAAACGATAGTGATGATGATGATGTTGATAAGGATAGTGATGATGATGTTGATAACTATAGTGATGATGATGATGATTGTTATGACGGGCATTGATCCTGATCAGGAATTGAACTCGAGTTGGCGAGCAGGCCTCTCCAGGCATCTCCACAATTAATCCGGGTTGGCTTTAACGTGCAAGAACACATTATTTATTTATTTCGTACAATACACATCGCATATATTTGAAATGACAACGTATTTACACAGAGAGTCGCACTTTATTTAATGCTCGCTTAAGCTGCTCTCTGGTTATTGTCGGGGGGGGGGGATAAATTACGTCAGCACCCGAAAGCTCCCCCACTGCCCCCCCCCCCAACAGCAGCAGCAGAGGCTCCCTCTCCGTGACCCCCCCTAACATCCCCTTTCGGACCCCCTCAGGCCCCCGCTCCCCCCACAACGCGCTGCCCTAGAGACTCGTCACAGGGGCCACGCCCTGAGAAGAGCTCCGAGGCCCTGGAGGGCCCCGGCGTGAGCGGCGTTCGATTTGCGAGCGGCGACGGGAATAGCAAGAGAACTGGATCCTCAGCAGCGAGTGGTGGCAAGGGAACGCAGAGGCGCGGTTTGTGTATGTAACGTGTATAAAAGTGTCAATTGCTTAATTAATTTGAGCACGAAACATGCTTTGGTGCCAAATCTCTGTGCTGTGTGGCCAACGCAGCCTGGCTGGTCTGTCCGAGTTATCGTTAGCATCAGCCGTTGACCATTCACGACTGGGTGAAGGCCTCCCCAAGATACCGAAATCCCTCTTACGGTCCCGTGCTGCGGATCGTCTGTCTCACTGCAGCACGCGAACCAATATCATTGCTCACTCCATCTCCGGGCGTGCACTCTCCTTTGGCTGCCAATCCATCCAGCAGTCTCATCCACCGGCCGTCATGCCATTAAAGCAATGATGTGCCCTAACCGGAGCCCAATTACCTTCCTTAATCGTCAATGCAATCGATGGCTCTAACTTGCGTACGTTCTAAAGTCCACTATTCCTGTTTCTCGCCGCAATTCCCAGCACGCGCCTCTCCGTGCTTCCTGGCGCACTTCACACGTTTACGACACGATTGAAGATGTAGCTGTTGGGCCGCAACAGGAAAATGCACACCAAGGGCTGTTTACGAAAGTGCAAACTCGGATCAAAGTAAGGAACTATGTAAGAGCTGCACGGCACTTTCGAAAACTAAATTGGATGATGGAAGGCAGCAAAAATTCCCCGATCCTCGTAGCACCAAAGAACACGTTCCTCGGCAAAACTTCACGTTGCACCATTGTTTTCTGGCCCCTGCCATGGGACCGTGGAATGTCCACCAATGGCTCGGGGTCGCCGATGCAGACACCCACCATTCCACCGATGGTTTTCGCGAAGGGACACCGACTTGTGGCTGTCCTCCGTGCCGCCAGGGGCACTGCCGTTTTTGCAAACCCACGAATTGAGCCGCTGGTAAACGTCGCTCGCCCACCGCTGGCTCGAGAATAGAGGCCCACGCGCCGCCTCGTCGTGATTCAGACAAGCCCTCACGGCTAATCCTGGCAGGAGAAACGCACGCGGCGGCACTGGAAATGTAAATCCAACCGAAGCTCGCGAGCACGACCGCGTTGCAGGCGAACGGCAGGACGCAGAGCGACAACGCCGCCGCGAGCGGCCTTTGGCGGAATGATCCCGGAATGTATCTGAGAAACGCTTCTCCGTCCTCGTCGCTGGTTTTTCCCCACTCCGTTTCAAACGTCGCTCGAGCGGTCCCCAGGAGCCGAGCGCGTCGCTCGTGAGCCCCGTTGAGCGGAGCGAGCGCTGCGCCCTCCAGAGAGCCGTGTGGCCTTTGACGGTAGAATTAAGCCGGGAGCTCATTTCTCCGCTTGATGAAAAAAAAAACTCAGCTTGTCTGGGCAAGGAATGCAGAGAAAAAAGAATCGCAGGAGTAACAAAGTAAGCCCTGAATTAATCAGAGTGCGCGCGTGTGCGCTGTGAAAAGTACGCGTGTGGAGCGATGACCCAGTGGCTAGCACGCTGCACTGTGAACCTGCGCTCTTTTCAATCATCTACATTTAAAACTCGTTTCTTTAGAACTTATTTTTTAGTTTGTTGTCCTTCCCCCGCACCTCCGCTTAGCGCGGTTGGTTACGTACGGTGCGAAAGAAGTTTAACATACATGCAACCTGGTGACCTGAGTTTGACCGACACTGTGGTGGTAGTTTTCATCCAGCAGAGGACTGACAAAAGCCTGTACATTACTATTATTAGTATTATATAGGATGTACCATGAATGTGCGTGTCTATGTAAGGTAATTATTGATCCCCATCTTACCGAGAAAGTTCATTTATCAGCGAATATCTCAAGCAAATCATAGGATTTCATTAGATCGGCACTGGCATTCCGTGTGGCAATCTCGGTGATTAATCAGCATTCATCATCGAGCAGGGTTCATAGGGAGCTGCTGTGCTTACACCACCGCACGTCATCTTAATATCGCGATCAACGTACGATCAAACACAAAGGCGCCATTGTGTATTAGCGCGATACCATCGTTCGCCAATATTATGATGTTAAAAGAGTTACCCTTGATTGTGCAAAGTATGGAGCGCTGAGGGGGTGGTAGGGGGTGAGGGGTGGGGGTGTGTGGGGAGGGGGCGGCAGAGCGGGGGGGGGAGTGTTTAACGTTGCCCGCCGCCCCCGTGGACGGAGGGGAGCCGACAGGTCGCAATGAAAACCCACCAGGACACCGCTTTCATCCCCAGCGACGTGAAGAGCGGGATTATGGGATCAGCGGTGAGGAACAGTCGCGGGCAAGCAGCGCCGTGAGTCAGAGGCGTGCGCAGTGTCCCCCCTTCCCGGTGCCCCCCCGTGCTAAGCCACCCGATTTATAGTCACGGCACGACGCCCCCAGCCCCCTCGTCGCCCCGCTGCCGGATGGAGGCCTCCGCACGCCCATCGCACTCCCTTGAGGTGGGCGGCCGAGAACACTTCCCGCACGCCCGGAATCGCGCGGGCTGGTGAACGGTGGGCAGCGTGGGCATGGAGACTCAGCTGCCCTCCGCTGCCCTCCGCTGCCCCACCGCGTAGCCCCAGTAACCTATAACAACCTGCTGTGCGTGGTGGCCACGCATCCCGTGCGGTTCATTTTTACTTTCTACGTAATTCAACATGCATTTGCTATTAGATCTGATTTGGCCGAAGGTTTCTAACGTATACTTATAGCCAGCGTGTACACACGCAGGCTTCCCACACTCTGTGTGGTGGTAGTAGATGTGGTCTAATAAAGGGGTACACAAAGCGAAACCGTGCCACAAGACAGCTGCCTGTGGAGTAGCGGGCACAGTACGCACAGAGTACTCACACGGTACGCACGCAATGTCCCACGCCCAACCGCAGAGCCGCATGCAGAGTGAATTCATACCGCGTTGAGCCAAGAAATAGGTTAGCCGCATATTCGCAAAATCGCACAAACCGAGCGCGCGTAGAGCGAGGGCAACCTGCGTTCCGTATCGCTCCCCTGGCTAGAGGGAATATAACGCAGCACAGGTACAGCTCTGAGTACGAGCGCACAGAGCCCCGCTCGTGCCGTGGCGGCGGGGGAGAGTGGGCAGGGCCCTGCGAGCAGCAGCAGGTGCGGGGGTCAACGAGGAGGCCGCTGGAGGTGTGGCCACGTGAACGTGGGCGGGGCTGCCTGCTCACCGTGCGCGGCACGGCTGAGCCTCCCAAGAAGTTTCGTAGTTTTTTTTTATATCAACCCGGCCCGGCGCCGCGAGGAGCGCGAGATCCGTGCCGAGAGCGAGTCGGCGCTCACCGCGAGGAAGCCCCTGAGCTCGGCGGAGGAGCGTCGCTCAACCGTGGCGTTGCTCCCCAGCTTGCAGTGGAACGCCTCCTCGAGGGACCGCGGGAGATCGGGCGGCAGCACCGCCGCCTGCGTGGCCGGGGGCGGCCGCCGCTGCTCGGGTCCTCGCTGCTCTCCGGGGAGGGCGGCCCGCGACTGCAGGAGCAGCGCCGCCACACGGCGCTCCGCTGCGTCTGCTCCAGAGGCAAAGAGAGACGCGGCGACGGACAAGGCGGAAAGTAAACGACGCGTTACAGGATCGGCGCGTTGCTACCGCGCGCGTGAGTCGTCGTCGTGGTGGCGGTGGCGGTGGTCATCGTCGTTGGTCAAGAGCTATCCATTGCTACATCTGCTGGCTGCCACTCTTGACATTCGTCTTGACCCCCGGCCAGAGCCTCGTCTAGCGAAGTGTCCTGCTCGAGCCCGCTCAGTTTTTATTGACGGCCGACGGTGTATTTAGCTTTCGTTTGATCTCAAATCCACGTTTCTCACGTCACTGCCAGCCTAATTCCACCCGTGCGCCTCTCCGTGCTGCTCTGCGCACTCTCCAAGTTTGATTCATAGCTTAGGAGATTCGTTGCGGGAACAGAACAGGAAGACAGGAATCCAGCAGGGGAAAAGTTACTTTTTATTTCGTTGAACCAGAGAGCGCGAGACGAGGATGCGTCTTCGTTTACGAGAGTATTTTGCGCTGTAAATGTAGACCCCCCAACGCCAGCACACAACGGCCTGCTCTTGCGAATGACGTCGCGCGATCTTTGAAATCCACTGAGTGAAGCGGACGGTGCGCAGCACAAGCACGGCGAACATCACAACGGCGGCGTCAATCGGGGCAGACCCCAGATTGGGATTGCGAGCATCTGCAGTGAGCGGAGGCAAGCGCACCGCCACTGGGCCACCACTGAGGCCTCGCCGCCCACAGCAACGCAGCAATGTGCCGAGAGAAGAGAGCTTTTCAATCGGTGCCGACTACCTGCTAAAATCATAATTAGATTAATATACTGCTTTTCATCAAGGATCTCAAAGCGCTGAACAGGATACAGCAGCAGACACTCAGCATACAACTAATTATATAAATACATTTTCAGAACCCATTTACTAAATTAACTGAAGGTTTAGTAAGTGGAAGCGTATAAATAGGTTTCATTCAAGAAATGTTCACAGACTTAGAGATGCTGGTTTCACGTGGAAGAGTGTTCTACAGCCTGCTATGATAGAGATGGATTAGAAAACACACGGTGATTGACAAGGGGAATGGAACAATTCGTAAACAATGATAAATTATAATTTGGATGTATAAAGCCTCAGACAAAAATGCTATATTAAAAAATATTAAATGATTTTTTTCATTTACCAGGTGAGGCCCACTGAGCTATGTAGCTCTTTTTCAGAAGCGGCTTGGCCACAAATGACAGCTCAACGAAGTGGCTTATCGTGTGGCAATGTATAGCAGCTAAAGACTCTAAAACACATGTTGATTCTAAATGTGGAGGGAAAAACTGGCGGACCCGGAGAAAAATCCACGCCACCACGGGGAGACCATACAAACTTCAAATATACAGGCATCAGGGTCTGGATCGAACCCATGACCTCCTATGTATACCAGGCGAGGTAGTTAACATCTCCTAGCCACCGTGGTGCCTGAACTACAAGAGGACCTCCAGATGTTGTACAGGGCTAGCTTGTAAACCATTCCCACAAACAGTGCAAACAAATAAACACAACTATATGTAAATAAATAAATAAATAACCCGAATGGAAACGTGAGTAAAATGTAAAAATACCCATTTAAAAGCACCGTTAAATTGCACCGTGATGGTGTTTGTTGGGCACAGTACTCTGTGTACACCTGAACTTTCTCGTTCAATTACAATGCAATTTATTTCACCATCTCGGTTACTCCGTTTTATATTAACTTATTATTGTTCCTCGTTTCATAACTACACAGTTTATAGTTTCCTGAATGTTGTGTCGGCCATGGGAGGGGGGGGGGGGGGGGTGTTTAACCATACTTCACCACGCTCGACAGCGCAGGGCCGTTCCGGATATCGCTCGCCACCGATGTGGCAGACATGGCCTACCTTTCACCATATCCTTGAACTCCTTTATCAGAGCGTCCTTTGTGATTCTGGCTCCGGGGGGGCCAGGAGGTCCTGGGGGGCCCGGGGGTCCAGGGGGGCCGGGGGGGCCCGGCTGTAGGAAGACGCGCGCGCAAACATACGGACGCGTGTTTACACTCGCCCATGCACGCGGGCACAGCAACAACAACAACAGCGGCAACAAACGCCGTCGCCCACTAAGTGGCGGTGACCTGACCACAGCATTTTTGCCAGGCTAGGTGCACTTTGAAGTCACGTGGAGTGTCAAAATGCTCGCTGACAGGAAGTCACACATGCACAACACGACTCAAATGTACGCAAGTCCACAACGCACGCGTACAATTACACATCACGCAAAAACACATTTCCGCGTAATGCACCACCAACACAAAAGCACCCATGCCTACTGCTGCCGTTTGCGGCACACAGATACTCGACGAGCGTCAAACGAAGGTTCTTGGGGATATGCGAAGAACCGATTGGCATTTCACGAAGAAGTGCATTATGGTGCTCTTCCTGGAAATTCTGGTGGTTTTTTTGTTCACAATGCAAGTGTCTGTGTTGTTGTTGGAAACTTGTGGATTTCGGGGGGGGACTTGAGCCATATTTTCCGTTCGGATAGTTTTTTTCTCGACATTTACGGGTTTTGACAACAAACGACAACGCGACGTTTGAACAAAACACTCCCATGAAACGCGAGTCTCTTGCGGGAGGGGACAGGCACAGAGACTCTCCTCCTGGCTACGCGCTGCCACCTCGCCAGAAACTAGGGCCGTTTCTAATCAGGCTCTCATCTCGCTGCCGTGCGAATGTATTGCCGAGCGAGCGATCGTGAACAGATGGCCCCCGGGAGGATGAGCGTACACGCGATGCTAAATCACGAACGCCACCACTCGGTGAATCTCCCCAACGATACACGTCCGTTTAGCGCTTCCAAAAAGGATCGGTCGATGGAGGAATGGAGCGGCTGCTCTACACGGCCTCCACAATCGCCAGCTGTTGGCTCAATACACTGATCTAAATAGTTTTAATACTTTTTACTTTCAGCCATACATGATAAATAGGATGCAGGATTTAAATGATAAACAAAGTTAAGTCCATCAGCCTTTCGGCTCTCACAGCGAGTACGAACCAGCAGCATTTTCTCAAACGAGCGAACTTGGGACCTCTTTCCACTTAGTGAGTTTCTACTCAAGACCTGAAATTTTGGGGGGGCCCAAGTCCAAGCTACAGTATGGCTTTTTGAATGTTTGTAGTTTTTAGGAAAGACGTGAGTATATTAGTGCCAAATTCCAGTTGCCTAGCCCTTTTATAAGGTCATCAGAATTCACAAGTTACTCTGTCACAATTGTTGATGCGTATTAAATATATCACATCCACTTTACGTCATTCGGACTGCAATGAAAACAGCCACGATTTCCTGAACACAAATCACGTCGCCCTTTTTCAATGTTCTCAACTACCTGCCAATTTTTGTTTGACGCCCCAGCCATGTGAAGTAAAATCCTCCCCCGTACGCAAACACGTTCTTAAAAAAAAATAGGCCAAACATCTCAACGCAGGGCTCTCTTGAAATGGAGTGTTTAAACGCACTACTTTACTGGCTTATCAGTATTATGTTTGTGGCTTAGCGAACATCTGGAGACCAGGACTTGCATAGTGTTCCGTTGGGAATCAGCAGTGACATCATCAGGTCAAAAAGCAGAGAGCCACCCTGTTCCTGTCCCACCCTTCTCAAGTCAAGACTCACGCCATTCGTCTTGCAACGTATCATCCCACAAGTTTGTTATTTTAGTTGAGAGCCAAATCGATACACAGTCATAAATCCATCCGAGCCAGAATTTGCCGAGATCCTGGATTTAAATCTGGGCTTCAGCCGGCTGTGATTCTCACCGGCTTCTCAAGTTTACTGCTCTGGCGGTCTCAGCCCACTCACCAACGACTGCACAAGTTAAACGCATCGTTTTAAATGCGCCTCTTCCGTTACTTTGGCAAAAGTTCAGCTCCGAGAATTAAACAAAGGTATCGGGATGACTGCCGATGCGAGAAAAATAATCTACAGCAGGACATGTGGGAGATGCCTCGGAAGGGACCTTCAGAAGCACTTCTGCGATGTCTGCTTCTGCGGGCCATTCTCCTACACGTGGAGTCGATGCGCCACAGTTAACTGTGACATTTCCACACGGACACTTTGTCTCACGACGTGACTGGGGGCGGGCGCGGGGGGGGGGGGCCTTACCAGCAGGCGACTGCGCCTCTTGTCATCTTTCTTGCGCTCCTTGTTGGCGCCCTCGTGCGAGTGCTGGATGAACGAGATCCACGTCCCGTGTGGATCGATTCGCACGTTCTCTCGTGAGTCCGACACCTTGGGGTGGGCGGAGTGGGACGGGGTGCAAGGGGAAAGATACTACAGTTACGCAATGCTGAGTCTGTGGGTCTCTCAGCAAAGGCCACAGGTTTTCGTGCGATCATGTACAATACATTACGTTGTGGATTTGTGTAGCGACTAAATGCGGCCACTTGTCAAGGCGACGTACTAGGGGGAATATTTTATAGAGAGGCGCTCAGTCACAGGCTGAGAAGAGGAGGAAGTGTCTTGAGCCTGGACTTCAACAGCACGGCAAAGGAGTCGACAGCGCAGACGGCTGTGGGAAAGGAGTTCCAGACAATGACGGCAGCAGAGAAGAGGGAGCGACCCTCCCCACTAAGCAAAGGTTGACATGTGCTTGGGTTTGCTCCCAAAAGCCCTGCACTAATTAATGGAAAAATATGCCAATCACAAAGGCCCTCTTAACAAACGCCATGAGCTTCGGCGAGGCTTTCCCTGGGAATAACGATCATTGTGATGATTTAAATAATGCCCGTGTGGTCACATGGCCAACGCCGCTGCTGCTACCACCACCACACCTCGCCATCACTTGCTCCTGAAAGACCTTGCGACAAATGTTGCAGGCAATGCATCCTTCAAGGACCACTCTCAAGAGTCTCGTCAAAACCACATCTGGCTTGAGGTCTTCCTGGTGGTCACCAGCCCGGGTGGTGACCACCAGACCGATGACGGCTGCCGGGGAGTAACAATTAGCGGCACACCGCACCTGGTTGGATTTCCACCTTCGGGCGAGGCAGTTGAAACAACGGCGCGAGCTTCTTGAATCGCCTCCCCACCGCCTCTGTCCACCCAGCGGTATGAACGGCGTTCACCAAAGACAGTCGACCAAAGTTAAGTCGGCCGGCGAGGCCCCGTGTGGTCGAGATAATGCGTGGTGGGTACCAAATACTGTCTCTGCGAAGGCCTCTCTCGGCTGGAGGCGGTTCACCCAGCAGTGGCACACGCAAGCAATTGCAGGGCTGCAACTTTACCTCCTCTAAAACGAAGCCTAGAGCAATCCACACAAATATTTACATATTTTATTTTGATTCCCCCGCTTAACCACTTTTATTTTAAACGAATGATTTGACAATGCGGTGTTCCTGGCCAGGAATGGCGGGTGGACTCGCCGGTCTGCACCACCGCGACACCTTTCAAGAGCGGCGTGCGCGACCAATCAGAGGCAATCGTGGGCCAAGAGGAATGGTCCATCCTGTTACTAACACCGGCAGAACCTCAGAAACACGGCATCCCAAGTTCGGCAAGTTCAAAGTTCCACCACCCACTCGATGTTTTGCGAGTGCTCATTAATCATCGCCATGAGACACGATCCGTCCACTGCTGGATGCAGGTCACTCTATACAGTTCTGCGATCACCCGTCACGGCATTGCAATGCCACAATCCCCACCACTCCTGCACATAAGCTGATCCCGCGCTCCATCTCCGCGCTTGGTAGTGGTTCCTCCCGGGTCCGCGCGCATTCCCTCTTCTTGCTGCCGTTCCATCACCAGTCTCGACCACCGGCCATCATCCCTCATAACCATTTATGAATAAAATTGTTTAATGGAGTTGGCCAAACATTCCAATATAGGATCAAAGAGCTTGGGCAATTATTGGCGCCGGTTTTGGCTGCCTTCCCGCCTGTCTGTGGTTCCCCATCCCTCCGAATCATTCTGTCACATCGAGTGAACGAAAACTGTGCAAATGATGGCATTGAAAATATTGTAAACTATTGTTAATGTGCTGTACATGAGCAGACGTTCAAGTCAATGTTTAATTATCCCCTCCACGAGGGACGGAGGCTGCCAGCGCCGCTATACAGCATTCTTGGCGTCTCGCACGGCCGGGTTGCGTCGATCGGATCCCAAGGCCGCCAAGGAGTCGGCAGTCGTCGCATCGCGGGGCCAATTTGGCGGCGAGCGGGCGACTAAAACAACGGGCGCACCAAACGGCTCAATCGAGCGACCACACTCTCAGGCTTGACGGCGCGCGCAGTAAAACACGACGGCCGCGTCATCGCGCCGGCACCGGCCGCTTACATTGCCAGTTTTTGTTGAGTTGTGTGCTTTTTGGCGGCGGGCTGGATGGACACTTAAGGGGGGCGGGGGGGGGGGCAATGAAAGCATTGGCCCTGGGGGAGCGAGCGAGTGAGCGAGCAAGATGGTGCAGAGACCAGCGCCAAGTTTTTTTTGTGTTTTTCCTCTCCAGTGAATCGATTTTCGTGGCTCTGCCGATGACATCGTGCCGTCGGCACATTCAGAAGGCTCGTTTATTCTTTTATGAAAGTCTGTGGGTTACCCGCTCGCCGTCCAGCGCGGTGACGGACGAGAATGATTTAGACCGATTTCTGCAGTCGGAGCGAGACAGGCAGTTAGGTAATGATTTATTTAACCAGTGGAAGGAATCCACGGGCACAAGACGAGTAGGTTTTGAGCGGTTATCTATTCGGGCAGGAGACCAAGAAACTGGAATTCAAACGTGAGACGCGTACAAAGTGTCAGCCAGCGACACGACCACCGAGGCCACGCGATCACCGCCACGGCTCCCGTTCCCATGAGCTTCATCACACGCTGGTGCCTCGGTCTACCGGACGGACCCGCACGAGTTCTCAAATCCTCGCGTTCCTCTTTGCGTCTCTCAATGCCATTCCCAGCACGAATCTCAGCGCGCTTCTTTGCGCACTCCCCAGCTTTTGTTCCGTCCTCTTCATCGGTGTTCACCCTTCTCCCATCCCTCCTCCCCACCACGGGCAGCGGATGGCGTGGGCGCGGCACGCCGGATCTCTGCGGGCCGGGTCCCCGTCGCGATCGGGGTGGCGCTCCCGCTGGCCCGCGACTAACGGCCGGCCTGGCGCCCGGCACGAGCGGCGTGTCCGGTTACGTAACGGGCGCAGATTAAGACTCCGTTTCGGGCCTTTCAGCCCCACACTCCCCGCACCGCTGTGCGGCATTGCCTCTGCCAAGTGGGTGAAATAACACACGGCGGGAATTCTAGAATTTTTATTATTATTTCACCAGGTTCCTTTAATTTATCGTTTCACTCCTTGAGCCTTATTTGGCCGATCGGCCAGATGGGGCCGGCGATCGCGGTTACGCAAGAACGCGCCGAGCTCCGTTACCGCGACCGAAATAAGTAAAGGCGCCGATGCCGGGCCCCATTAGAACCACCGTGGCCACAAATAAATATTAGATCGAATTTACGGTGTCGGCGGGTAGTGCCAAATGCCCACAATAACTCTAGCAGAGAGCGGCTGGGAGTAGCTGGCTCTCTTACATGCGCCTTGCACACACACACCCGCGTGCGTGCCCCATAAATGGGCGCGGGTGGGTTCTGGCACCTGCCTACCTGCGCGAGAGCCTTTCCGTTCGGGCCCGCGGGATGAATGCCATGCAGTGTTGTGAGCGCAGCGGCCTGGTACGCGCCGTTCACGCACAGACGGCAGAGCGGCGCTGGTGCACGGCCCCCGTGGGGCCCGTGAGCTGGGTGCCGCTGCTTGCGTTGGTTCGGGCTAACGGGCCCTCGAGCGGCAGTCAAAAGCCCTGCTCGCCGCGTCCGTCTGCGAGCGCAATGGGTAGATGTTTCTCAGGCAGTGGTGGGCACCCTCTTCAGAGCAGAGAGCCGGGGGCCAGGACTCGGTTGTGCGAGCGACTCGGGATTGACCGCGTGTGCGTAGCGGCCAATGGGCATAGCCCAAGGGCGCGTCCACCACAGAGATGGAGCCGTGGAAATCGGCTCACGTTCAGGAACTACGCGAATGGCTGCGTCGTGTCCCCATGACAGATGGTGAACGGCTTGGGGAGGCCTTAATCTCGCAGTAAATAAATCGCGGCCAACGGTGATGATTGAAAATTAACATGGTTTCATTGTTCACGCTATAGAGATGTCCGACTGAAACAACAGCACAGGTTTGTGATGAATGGGTAGACGAGGGATGGCGAGCGGTGGGGAAAAGCGTGGGTGCGTACTTCCACCTCTTCCAAGCCATCTGACCACTATGGAAGATTAGGCCAAGATTTCCTCTTTCGAGTGGAGGCCCTTCTGCCAGCAGTGGTACGAGCTGGAAATTGCAGGGATGCGCCTTTATCTTTTTACATTTTACTACAAACTGGGGGTTTTGTACTGGAAATCAATGTTCTCGCGTATTACCGTAGCTTTTTTAACGCTCCTTAACGATTAGTTTTGCACAAAAAGACAAAGGTCCCCCATATAGCCTGAACAGACTGTTGGGGCAAGTTCTGTTAGCGAGCACCTATGAAGCCTCACGAGGAGGTGGGTGGCCAACACTACGCACGCCCAGCCACCTTTGTGTCCCCAGTGGCGATGTTTGCATACCGCACCAGGTACTCATTTGAGGCTGAGTCGATCTAGGGAAGACCCAGGACCGGTTCAGATAACCGTCAGCGGTGTTGGCCGTGGGCAGGAATCGAACTCTTAGTGCGGCGCGCTAACCGCTCCCGACTCCTCCTGAACAACGCAGCACACACGCAGACAACACCAAATACACCACCAAATACACCACTCAGTACTCCTGCATTCAACAAGCACACGTCGCTGAACACGCGCGCGTGTGCGTGCGTTCGTGCGTGCGCGCACGTACGGACAACTACATACACCGCATACCAGCAGACCGGCATAATTGGCATACAAACGAGCAATGCAAGCCCATGTATAGAGATTGTCTGGGGTCCATTAAATGCTGCATGGCAGCACTAATTGCGTGTGCGTCTGATAAACACCGCCGCCGCCGTGTCTACACGAGCAGACACGGTCGCCGTTGGAGCTCAGGGTAGGCCACCACCACCACCAACAACAACCTCCACCACCAACAACCACCACCACCACCGCCGCAACCCCGACTGCCACAAAGGCAACTTTCACCACCGTCGCCGCCACTGAAACCTCCACAGCCACCACCGCTATGGCCAGTGAGAGGCCAGTGACAGGCCAGTGAGAGGCCAGTGAGAGGCCAGTGACAGGCCAGTGACAGGCCAGTGAG